CTGGTCCTGATGCTTGCCAGTATGGTACTGAGAACATTCTCCGAGGTAGAGAAGTACGTCTCCCACAGAAAGCGTCCCTGCCGCCTCATGGCCAACAAATCATTGTCTGAAAGGCTGCGCAGGAGAAAATGTAGTTCAGTGACTCGAGGCTTAGGGACTATGATGACGGCTTCACTCCAGCGGATGAACTGATGGTACGGCAGTTTGGAATGGTCTCCCAACACCACAGGAATGGCTCCTACTTCTAAAGCCTCAAAGAGCCTCATTCCGCAGCCGGCTGAAGATACCAGCTGTCCATCTCCAGGAGTAATCACCAGGGAAAAGGTAGAAACCTTTAACACCTCCAGCCTGTTCTCCCTCTGTCCACAGAGGGCCCACTCAGTCGGCAGAGTCGGCTGAGGGCTCTTACAGGTGAACTCCACCAGCACCTGATCCAAGTGGCTGTCCTGCACCGCCTTTAGAGTACCGATGATGCGATCATCATAGTCGGCCGGTGGGTCTCCTTCCATCTCCTCCTCGAAAGACTGAGGGAGCGCCTCCTGTAGGCTGCTCCTCAAAGACTCCACTTTCTCTCCTTGAAAGGTAAAAAGATATTTTCTCTTTACTGGCACTTGAGGGGGAACTTCCAAAAAGTTTGGTTCGGAGAGAGCGTGAACCAGAGGGGACACGACCAGGTCGAAGCCCTCGCGGTACTGTTGCTCAAAAAAGGTGGACTGAGCAACCGCTGCTCGCCCGGTGCTCACGTTGTACAGAAAATTCTGGGTCATGGACTTTCTTGAAAAATGCACAAGTACGTGGTTGTGTCCATCAGACCTCCAGTAAGGGAGAGCTTTTAGTTGTTTCTCCAACTCTGACGGAGGAGGCGGAGGGTGGGCGGAGGACTCTTCCAGCTCCCCAACGAGCACCAAATAAATACAAGCAACGCTGGGGTTATCAGTTACATAAATGTTGCTCTTAACTGATGCTGCAAAGGCCTGTTTCACCAGAGGGTCAATGTAGCCCCCCCACGGATAAGAGCCCGTGTCATAGACGTACACAGGAAACCCTGATGTGAGAGGGCAGCGTCCATAGTTGAAGCAGGACCGCAGGCGACAGGAGCGGACAGACTTGGGTGGAGGCAGCCCTGGGTCTTCCTTATCTGGGAGCAGCCTGACAGGCAGCGACAGCTTTGGCTGGTTCTGGGCCATCAGTTCTTTATAAGAATGTTCTGTTTGGCTGATAACATTTTTAAGCTGCAGCAGGTCCTGCTTGGCACTGTCGATGCTGCGCTTGCAGGCCTCGATGCGCAGGTTGAGTCGTGCGATCTCCCCATTGAGCTCCTGCCTCTTGGCCTCCAGCTGCAGCAGCTCCTCGCTGACCGACTCACGTATGCGGCAAAGATCCTGCACGTGCTTGGCCTCGCACAGTTCACCTCCGGGCCGAGGCACGAACTTTCGATTGTCGGGACCTCCGGCCTCGTCGATTGTTGTGAGGTAGTAGTGGGCAATCAGCGGGAAGAAGACGAGAATGAAGAAGAGCATGAAACTGAGCCACGTGAGACGCACACGCCGCAACACCCATGGCTGGCCACCGGCACCTATCCCACCACCGTTACGCTGCATTGTCAACTCCCTCAGTCCGTTCCTTGTCTCGCCAAGGAACTGTTGCTATGCGGATCAGCAGCAGCCATGGTCAACCTTGTCAGCAAGGCGGAGGGGAGGACACTAAATCATCAGAATGGGATTTAGCTGTGTCCTTCTGTCAAAGTCATTTCAGGTTATTTTCCAGCCGAGTGTCTAATAGATATTTCCTCACCTCCACCCCCAAACGTCCAACGTGTTACAGCTCCTGCAACCTAATGTCATTTTTGTCACCACGTATAACCATTCCTACGTGCAACCTAATGTCATTTTTGTCACCACATATAACCATTCCCAAGAATAAATGTGAAAAAAAAAAAAAAAAAATCCGACTACGGAGGGGTGCCCCTCGAAGGGTGGTGCAGAGAGAGCATGGCTGCTCACATGTGGGTGAGAAAGCTGGGATGGAAGGTTGTTCTTTTTCTTGTGTGCTTATTTAGAAATCTTCGTCTCCTTCAGATAAAGACCTGAAAAAAAAGAGAAATAAGAAAAATGTTAGAAAATATATATAAAATAATCAAATGCCATCAACTGATCCACGTTGGTTCTGCAGACTCCTCCTCTGTAGTCTGAATGTTAAAGGCTCTCAAGTCAAGGACACTTTAAAAGAACATTTCTAACATCTATTGTCTGGGTTTGCACAATCTGCCACTGAAAAAACCAAGACTCTGCAGCTGTTCCTGTTTTTGCTGCATATCGTTTTTCTTTTTGTGATTACGCCATCCACCGTCCAAGAGAGAAAAAACAAATTCTGCTGAATATTTTCGCCAGCCACTAATCTGCACGACACGGACGAGCAGACAACCAACGGGCTCGTCAGCAGAGCTCATCCAAACACTGCTGCGTCCCAACTTCATCACTGACTCAAATGACCAGAGTGTCCCCGATAACCCTGCCACGACGGAAAACTATTTTCTCCAGTCTGGACAAATTAGAGAAAAAGTACAAAAAGAATCAGAATCAGCAATCTGTGGATTTTCTTCTGATTTCTTCTTCTTCTATTTTTAAGTTTCATTTTTTGGTGCAGCATTTTCTCAGGGCTGCCAGAGGAGAGTGTGCAGCTCTTGTTACTGATCGATGATCAGTAAAATCCGTCATCTTCTTCAGAACTGCTTGAAGACGAGGTAAACACAGACCGAGTCTCTCTTTTAAGGTGAACTCAAATCAAAAACAAACAAAAAAAATCAGGTAATGAAAGCGAGCGGTACAAACCCCCCCCCTTCAGGGGCCTACATTTTCACAACTATTATCATATTTTTCAGCACAATATATTTCTTTCTGCACACAAAGGGCCGTCTACCTATAGCTCATGTAACACCACACCACAGCACAGGCCTCGAGGATGTCAACCGATCGGCCAGTTGCCAAACAGCGCTTATCAAATGCACTGCTGAACACACAACAGACAGGGGCAGGTATAAAGGCTGGGAGGATGGATGGCGGGCTCGGGGTCCCCTAACCGGTC